TGAAGCATATACTAGGCGAAGAGGTGAGATGGAAGACACCGCAGCAGCCCAATGGTACGGACTGGATCAGCTGCTTATCGGCGTGCAATCCTTGCGCTTGTGGAGCATGTTGAAAGTCGATGCAACGTAGTATTATAACATGTTAGCCAGTTGAACTGTCGCAATAGAAAAAAAAAGCCTATAGTCGCCCTAAGCTCTCACAACATACATAACTACTCACTACTTACTGCTACGGGACCCCAGGTTCATCTGCCAGATGAAGTCTCTGCATCTAGGGAAGACCTTGAGAAGATGGAGGATCCTGTAGAAGGAACTACAGTATCTTCCTAGCTAGTCCACCTAAGATTGATTGCAGACCAACCTGTATCTTCTGCTAGCTAATAAAACATTATTCATTAGGTTATGAATGAATGTGATTACTTTAGATACAATTAAGTTCTTTGATTAGTAGAGCATCTTGGGCGCCATGTGCAAGCATAAGTTCACATCAAACGGCCAGCTTTGAAAGGTCTACAGCTAATAAGATACAGGCATCGAGGTGAAACGGGACAAAATAGGTTCACCTACGATTTTCATACGAAAAAGGTAATTTCAATCGCCATTACAATCTTTAGACGCGTATCAAACTACAGGCATATGTGGTGCCTATTATTGAGGCCTTGAAATCATAAGGGAAGCCGAGACGAAAGAGGGATATCAGATCTTCCCACTCAGCCATCCTTGTGCCTGGCCTTTAACCAAGTGGGAATGGGCTATGTTAGTCTCAACGCCGTTTATCCCCGAGTAGTCCCTAATCGTTATATAAGTCTTCAGTGGAGTTTTCAGGCCATAAAGTAGTCAAAGGAGGGTTTTTGCGCATGGTTATACGAGGGATTGACATTGGCTACAAACTGGGCCTCTGTCCATGCCTTCATTCTGAGATGCTACAATGTCCCACCAAGGGAATTATTCTTTACTAAGATAATTCAGGGTTTTGGGTATACATGTCAATATTTCACTTATGTGAGATACATGCTTATCGCTAGAAAGTGGTGTCTAGTCCTAAGGGTTACAAAAATATAAGTTTTAGCTTATGCCCTGATTCCTGCCGATTCTTAATAACCGTTGCTTTGAATCCCCTCTACATGCTACCTGGTCTTACTTACTCGACGGAAAGTACTGTAATAACTAAGGCTGGAACTCCACCCTTCTTGATGACATTACTTAGCTTCACTTTTGGTAATGGCGATATTATCTGCGCTGTTTACCTCGGTTCAGATCTTTGTCCACCCAGCGAGTGAATGTATAACCCATATTATCGTATCGAGCCTCCTCGCAACTACCGCATAGCGTCCTTCTGGATCTTACGTTTATTCTCTATCTAGTTTAGCCTGCTTGCTGTATATTTAGGTCTGGCTACGCATAAAAGTCTTGACGACCAACCGGCGGAGAATGCTACGGTCCAGCTAATCACGGGTAACTAGTGTATAGTAACAGTACTCTCATAAAACCTGCTGTTTACCAATTTTGGAAAAAGTTTAATCGTTTAAGTAAGTTTATTAATAATGCAATTCCGAAAGAAAAGAAAAGAGTAAGTAAGAAGTCATGTCGATGCTTGTTCCCTAGTATAAGTTGCCCTTTCTGTAGACTGTCTTGGACTTGTAATGAGGCCGGTAAAATGGACTAGCATTGAAAAGAGACTAGCCTTGTCTTTCACTGCACTGAAATAAACTAAATCTTGTAAATCCTGCAGGGGGGTTACTAAAGCTGATAAGCTAGAAGAAAAAGTCTATGTTCTGAATAGCGGTATGAGTAACTTATAAAGCCGGCTGAGACTTGCATATCAGCAAGGGAGAAGAATAAAAATACACAGGATTTGGATTGAAGCCTCCATCATAAAGGTGGGTCATGCTTCTCAGGGCCAGTGAGCCATTTTCGCTGCCGCTGCCTCTTTGTTCCTCTTTGAGTTGCACAACTGGCAAAAGCAGTCGTGCCTACGGTAACTTGACGCTTCTGCGCCACGATGACCATTACTGACATGCCGTAAATTACAAAACCACTGCAAAAGGAACAGATTCTCACCGCTCATACAATTGAGATGTTTCATACACGCCGATCAAGGTCCTTATCTCAGCCTAGAATGAGACAATCCAGACGGCTGCAATTCCTCACCGCTCTCATTCTAACCGCACGGAGTCCCTCTTCCCATCAACGTATGCCACTCACGCACGTATATAAACATATCCTTTTCGTAATATCTTTACATAGTGGCTTTGCAAGCTAACTAATAAATTGTTCTTGCATCTCTCTATCTGGTAGAACCTTGGCGAAACAGTCAACAACTTGACAACACTCTTGATCAGTCATTATCACTTTACTCCCAGAAGCCCTGATTCACCCCGACGCAGACGCATTATGCCCGACTCTGAGTCATGTTGTGGCAGAGCCAATGCACATAATGCTGCTCCTACTGCGCCTGCATATCAGGCTTTTCGATTGAGTAGATCTCGGTTTGTTCTCATTCTGAGCATTCTCCTTCTAGCAAACCTAGTTGGGGCATTTGGTTAGTGGACCCTAATCTTTTAACTTGTGTAAGCTAGATCCATGTTTCTAATTAATCTTGTGATTTTATCTATAGATGGAACTATCGTGGCGACTCTCACGCGTGTAATCATGGACGACCTGGGAGCTTCCTCTGTCATCGCGTGGCTAGGTGCCAGTTATCTTATCGCAACTGCCTTGGTCCAGCCTCTATGTGGCCAGTTCTCTGATATATATACACGCAGGACCTGCTTATTGATTGGATGTATAACTCTTTTATTGGGGAATATTATCTGTGGCACTGCAAGATCATTTAAAGTGCTCGTGGCTGGCCGATTTCTATCTGGGGCCGGAGGGGGCGCCTGCACTATTATGCCTACTATCATTTTAACAGATATAACCCCAAAAGAGAGGAGGGGACTCTGGCAAGGTATCAACAACATCACATTTGCATCTGGATATTCACTTGGGGGCATATTTGGTGGGCTTACGGCCTATTACTGGTCCTGGAGAGGATCGTTTCTGACTCTTATCGCCCCTGCCTTTCTTCTCATGATCGGAGCGGTACTTATACCAGAGCCGAATGACCATGACCAGGGCGGGCGCAGAAGTCCCGACAATGAGAGCTTACTAAGAACCGATAGCGAGGACTGTCCACTTCTTCCAAGGACAAGTTTGGGCCAGGGGAGCTTGGACATAGTAGGAGCAACACTCCTATGCATAGGGTTGGGATTGTTATTGGCATCCGCTCAGCAACTTGACTTTGGTAACTCAAATCTGAATTTCATGGCAAATGCATTTGGGTTTACTATATCCTGCATCAGCCTTTCAGGTTTTATTTATCACAGTATCTTTGTGGCTGACAGGCCCTTACTACCCCTCAAGCTACTTACTAATCCCCCAACCATTGGTTACATCTGTTTGATGAACTTTTTATCACTATTCAGTTATTTCATTGGCGAATTTTACTTACCGATACTCATGTCTCTTCAGGAGGATGTCACTTTGGAAGTTGTGGGCTGGTGCTTAAGCCCTCTGACTATAGGCGCTGCAGTAGGATCCCTACTTACAGGAGCGCTCCTATCCCGACACAAAAGTTCGCATCTATTACTGGGTTCATCGGTAATTATGTGCATGGGACCTTTTGGAATATCTCTTTCTACTCATCCAGGTTTCGTCAGGTTTCATCAGCTTTTGTTCACTTTCATATGGGGGTTTGGATTCGGTGGCGTCACAACTATAAGCCTGGTCAAGCTGTTAGGAGCTATTCCGGTAGATATACAAGCGCCGACAACCTCGCTGATGTACACTTCCAGATGTCTTGGAGGAGCTTTTAGCTTACCAGCAGCTGGGTTTGTCCTCAATATGATCAGAGAACACAGACTCCGAAGTCTTTTGATACGGTTAACAGCGGCAGAATATCCAGGCGTTCTACCAACACCTATTCACGAGCTTATACAAAGCCTACTCGCTAATCAGCCTACAAATCCACAAATGCCGGACTCTTGGATCCCACGCATACATGATTGCGAAATACGCTCGGTGGCTTTCATATTTTTGCTCTCGGTGGTATCGAGTCTGTTTACACTGTTACTGTCACTCCTTATTATATACGCGGAGGAATAGCTTTTTATTTTCATCGACAAGGCTAAGCCCCATTGGAACGAAACGAATCTGAATGCCATTCTCAACCTGAATGCTCTCATGCTCACCCTGGGCATCATTACGTCAGGTTCGGCTTCGGGGTTTGTGATCTCACGCAAATATTTCAGTAGTTCCAATTTCATTCGTCTTCTCAGTTTCGTGTCCGAGAAGAGGAAGCAAAAGCGTTGTTGTGCACACCACAATCAAGTTTAGATACCGTATGTTTGTGATGGTAGTCGTGTTAATATAACCTGCGAACAACTCTAGTGATAATAAGATCAGCTCACATAACCACTCAATACGTATTATGCTTGGCTGTGCCAAAATTGATATTTGCAAAATAAGCGAATGAAGAACAGTTTATGTAGCGGCCAAAACCACGACGGCCATCAATCTCCACTGCGGTACGATGGCGCATTCGGTGGCGTCATGGGGTGTCAGTCCCTCGTCTTGTTATCACATGCAGTTTTCATATCAATGCCATGCTGTGCCGCGCCGGAGCGTCCAATGACTAAAACAATCGAACCGGATCGAAGGTTCTGCCACTATTTATCAGCTAGCTTAGGTGGAAAGGATGTTTTGAGATTCATTCAAGAAATTCGAATGGTCGAAGCGATAGTAACATGACCTCATAGATAAAACCGGAATAGCAATGAAAACACACCAGTTGGCCAGGCCATTAGGACTCACCATTAAGCCAATTCGAGTGTAAAAGAACAACTATTCCACAGACTAACCATAGTGCCCAGGTATTTGAAACGTTTCTTGATACAATTGCATGGAAATGATAGCTAGAATTTCAGATCGTAATGAATGTTTCTTGTACTGCATGCTCCTCAATCCATGAACTTCCAAGCCGCGAGCCATTTTACCATATCCTGCTTGCTGATTTGCCCCAACTTCTTGAATACTGCAGAAGACCGAGATGTGTTTTCTAGAGAGAACCGAAGGGAAGCTTCTGTATGCTTATCGAGGTCTTTGAAAAGCTGCAGTAACTTGATCGCGGGTAACGAGTGTACCTGACTAGAGGCGCCACCTTTGTTTTCCAAATCTTGAATCCAGTCTCCAAGATCGACAATTTCCAAATTAGTATTGGTATTGCCAAAGCTTTTGTAGTACTCTTGGACAGCAGGGATAAGATCACCCCAGTCAGCGATGTGAGGGTTTACCAAGTTGTAGCATGACAATGACACGCCTTCTCTGCTAGTAGCATTCGAGGCACGCGAATAGTTCAATGACATTAATATATCCACAATAGTGGAAGCAGCCGTATCGATAGGTACCCAGTCAACGGAGTGGTTCCCCAACGAACGAGGAAGCTTTCCCAGCGTAATTGAAGATTTTATCAAGGCAGGAACCCATTCTGCAGGCAAAAATGTGTTAGCAATTAATTCAAGCGAGTACATAGGTGAAGCCCTACCAGAATCGTTCCACCTCCCTTCTATGCTGCGTGGCCCACAGAGCTGACCAACACGTACGATGGCGGCTCGTATACCTAGCTTCTCCACAGCGTTGGCCAAGATACAGCTTGCGACGTGCTTAGACTCTCCATAACCTTGGTGCAGGGGGGCGCTATTGTCTGTGATGCACAATTCGGGCACAACACATGGATCTTGGTTTTGGCCGGCATGAATCACGCTCCAGTTACCAACACTAGCAATCGAAGAGATGAATATAAATGCGGGCTTTTTCTCAGCCTCGGAAACAAATGATATGCAATTTGCCATTCCCTTGATTGCAGTTTTCTCAAAAGTTTCGAGTGACTTGTTGAAATCGACTGGCCACGCACAATGAATAAATTGCGTCATGCTTGTCCGAATTTCGTCAAACTTGTCGCCAGAGATGCCAAGATCATTATGATTGAAATCACAGTGAATAAATTCAATGGTATCATTGAATGAATCATGAAATTCGACACCCATGCTCTGGAAGCGTTTCTTCTGTTTAGTCTCGGCGTCTGCTGATCGGTTAAGACAGTAAATAGTGCCAATGTCCTTTCTGTCGAGCAATGAGGAGAGAATGTAGGACCCAAGATGTCCAGTTGAACCCGTCAAGACAACTGTCAACTTGTTTTCAGAAGGTGCTGCACGGCTTAGTCCAAGCACTGCTGTGTACTTGTGTATTAAGCGAGACATATTCTCCTCCCTCGAAGCCTTCATACCACTTTCCTGATGAGAGGAGGTATCATCGGATGGTGCGGGTTGTGATAGGTTATCAACAAGTTTCCTGATAGTGGGGAATCTGTAAAGGCTTTCGGCAGTACATTCGTGAGATGTACTGCCAATCTTAGCAAACGATTCCTGAATCTTGTCGGCCAGCTCCAAGGCCATTAATGAATCCAAGCCAAGTTCGAACAGATCCTGATCAATAGAAGGGTCTTCTTGGTGGCTCAGAACCGTTTTAACTGATTGAACGATCTCATTTGTCAAGCGTCGAGATGAAACCTTCGTATCTGGTGGAGAGATTTTGCGATCAGGGAGGTTTTCTTTGCCCTCGTATAAGTCCTCAATCTCGCTCTTATAAAGCTCTAAGGTGGCTTGGCGATTGACTGAGCCTTTCGGACTTCGTGCGAACGGTTTGTCAGGGAGAGAAAGAAGTATCATGGATCTTAAGACCTTGGCATGACCCGGCATGCCGTCGTTGACCTCGCTCAGAGTCGGCCAAACTTCATCGATGCGTTCTTGGATGCTCTCTGGTTTAGTCTGGCTTTCACTGAGCTCGAGAAGGATTCCCAGGTTGAACCTGCCAGAACCGAAGACGAAGGCGTCTGTGACGATGGAATGCTGCTTGATGCCTGTTTCGATCCTCTCTGGATTTATCTTTTCCCCGTTGCTGAGTACAATCAGGTCATCAGCTCTGCCAACATAGCGCCATAATTCCCCGTTTGATGGATGCCTCTCGAATAGGTCCTTCGATCGCCAGTTGGACAAATTTGGATAATTGTAGAACACAGGCTGCCATCTCCAGTCTGATTTCCTTTCTATGACCATTTCGAAGACCGTTTCTGTCACCTCTTCCATGACTACTCCTGCCTCGGGGTGCCACTCAAGGTACTCCCAGTCCTCATCATGAAGCGGAGTGAGCGTAAACACCGTCATCATCTCGGTAGATCCGTAGCCACAGAGGAGCTTGGTAACTTGGGAGACTTTGTCTCCGCAGGCGTGATTGAGTGGTCCACCACCGTACCAAACGCCTTTCAAGGACGAGAGAGTATCCAGCCCCCCAGACATGTCGCAGACTTCCTGAAGCATAGATGGTACGAAGATTGCTAATAATGCTCCGGACTGGCGGATTGCCGTCATCATGTCGTGAGCTGTAGGGGGCTTTCCTTGTGGTAAAAGGACCAGTGGTCCTTGGGAGTAGATAGAACGGGCAAGCGTCGTGAGCCCCATCACATGGGAGAAGGGAAGAGTCGTGACTAATGTGTCATTCGAGAACATGTCGCTGTATTTGTTCTCTCGACCATCCGGACTAGGCATTTCTTCAGTCCCGTCCATCTGAGCCAGTGCGCCGTATGTGATTTCAATAGGTTTGGGCCGACCAGTTGTACCACTTGAATGAAGAATCAGGGCTGTTTCATCACTCTCAAACTCATGTGACGAATCATCCTGCATATCATGGCCAACAGTCTCAAAGTAGTCTTGGTAGTCTTTCAATTTGTGACATTGAAGCCCCGGTAGCTGCCCTGAAAGCTCGCTGGCTTGTTGCTCATATCCTGAGCCGTACAATAGATGCCTGCATGTAGTTGTATCAAGTAGCCCTTGGTTGACATCGGCCGAGTTTCTAGACGATAGAATCAAGAGCTATTTTTCACCAGAGTCAGCTAACTATACTATGGTTCCCTTTCATTGTCAAGGTATGTGACACTGACCCGAGTGCCTGTTCTGATCGCAGCAATAATGGCAGCAGCGCAACGGACATCGCTGGTGGCGAGATAACCCAAGGTCGAGCGACCATTGGCATCTGTAGTCTCATTTTTCATGAAAGTAGAGAAACTTATAACGGCTCTTTGTAGACTCGACCAGGTAACATCGCAAAATCCTTGGTGTTCTTCAGAGGTTTGCATTATCCTCACCCAGCACCTATCTGCTGTTTGGTGAGCTAACGCTTCGACTACGTCTGAAAGATGACGCATGATTACTCAAGAATGAAGCGTGAGTTACAGGGGAAGGATTATGTGAAAGGTTTTGTGCTTAAATTATCGCGAGCCAAACATTGTGCATTGGGTAGTGATGTGCGTCACACGATGGATATCAGTTGAATCGAGTCATAGATCAGGTGCTAACGTTATACCGATCGGAAGATAATAGGGATTATCTTGGTTTTACACATCCTCCATGCATCTGCTGATTCAAAGCGCATCAGGATATGCAGAGCGAGCCAGGCATCCTCGCTACGCCAGTCATGAGAATGGAAAGAAAGTGACTCGTACTGCATGCCTTGCTTGTTCAAGCCGGTGGATATGATATTCCAGCTAGGTTCTCAGGATGCTTGAATGAAGTATCATGATCTAGTCTTACACCGGGCCGGTACTTTGCGGTGAAGAGGATCACGATCTATCTCGCTTAATCCAGATGGCGCAATTCTGTCTCTCTGGCCTGGATGTCTCGCAAGCCAATGTAGCACTGGCCCACTCCTGACCATGTCATAGTGACTGTCTTAAAATCAACCTTGAGATAAACGCGTCAGCTTTGTTGTGCCATCTATTCTAGGAGTCACCAACTGTACCCCCCATCCAAGACACGTTTGAAACAAACTCTCATCATCGTACCGCAGGCCATACCACCAGACGAAAAGTTGGTCACGAGCGTCGAATTAGAGTCTGCCACGCCCAGATCTACGAGACAAAACACACAGAACCGGATTTTGATGACTATGTGGCTGAGGCAGGAAAGCTGATCAATTACATTGGTGAAGTCATCTCTCAGGTATGCGTAAGTTCAGGAAAGGGGTTGGTGAATTAGCAAGCAAGATAAACGAAATCAATTTTGAACGTAACTAGGGCATTTTGTAGTGCTCTACGTGCGAACCAGCTCTTGGTCCACGTTTTTCTTTCCTTTACTCCCTCGTTGTTTTTCGGCAGCTGAAATAATATAGTAGGCTTGTAGTTTCAATTTGGACGTTTGAGGGGCTTTTTGCAGAAAGAAAACTATATTTTTCCCTTCAAGAAGAAGCAAAGAACTCACAGGCACAATAGCCAACCATTTAGCTATATATAATGGTTGCTCTCATCATTCTTCTGGAAAAGAAAACCGTATTGAATGACAGGAAGATCATAAGCGTCCTCCAGCAACGACCCTTAACGTGAATTCGCTTTCATCGTGCCTCCAACTTCTATTATCCTCATTCAATATATGCTTGTGAAGAAATGTAAAGAGAAACGAAATGATTGAGTTTTCAGATAGAACAGAAGTTTGCAAATTAAATTGATGATAATCAAAGAGTATTTAGACAGAGAGATCAAATGATTTGACTGTATGCTACCTAGGTCATCCCTAGAGCTGCGTTACATCATTTTCCTCATTTACCTAGGGTAAGGAGGAAACTTCGATAAGCTGTCTAGAGCCTAAGCGCAGACTGACTCTTCAACACCATCCTGGGAGCATAAAGATATTAGTATAGCAAATCTGGGACGTCTTAAGAACGATAGATGAGTAGGGCTGACGGTGATAAGATGGAAAATAAGAACAGAGCGAACAGCCCACTCACAGGTTCTCCAGTCGGCTCAAAGCCTTTATGAAGTCTAGAGGTGTACTTTAGACTGCAGTTCCCAAGGCGTAACAATCGCTCATCTTCCTTGGCCAACTGACCACGTAGCCGTTCCTTCTCTTGCCGGGAACCTCGGATATAATCAAGGTAGAATGGCGCTCCTGGAGATATGACATTGTCGGCCACAACTATAGAACCGGAACGAATCAGGGAAAGCTCTTCACAGAGCATCAGGTCGGTAACATACGCCGATTTCTGATGATCAAGGAAAAGCAAGTCGATCTGGAGATTCACATTTTCTTGTCGAATCCTCTGCAACGAAGCGACGCATGGGCCAACCCTGACCTCAACAATGTCATTCAAGCCAGCGATCGAAATTAAAGAGGATGCCACAGAAGCAAACGTCTCATTAATCTCGAGGCTTATGTACTTCTGGCCGCCTGCCTTCCTCAGTGCATCACCAAAGAGTATGGCAGAGTAGCCGATATAGCCCCCCAGCTCCACCATGAGCGCTGGGGACTTCTCCGCGATGATATTAGAGACTATGGCACCTTTGTTCTTTCCTACGTTCATGAGGAAGTTCTCCTGGTGACCAAACTCGTCTATAGCAGATAGCACCTCGCTTGGATTATTCTCCATCAGATTGAAGCGAGGATGGCTTTTGACAAAGTCTAAAAGCTGCTGTTCGCGACCGTCGCCATACTGCGTTGTCTTTCATAAGAAAATGTAGTTAAGCCTAGTAGGGATACTTACGCAGACTTCCTCTTCAGGCTTGTACAGTTTGCTAATCATGACTATGGTTTCAAGATCAGGTGTTGATGATGGTAAAGATGGCCAGGACAGCTGCCAAGAATAAATGTGATAAGACAGATGGAAGTGTAGATGCTCAAGTCGAGTTCTTGTATCTGCCGAGATTGCCTGACTTCACAGCCGTCCCCCAACACGTTAATAAAGGAGGAAAGGCGGTGTGTTTGCTACAAACGGTACATGGTAAATGGTTTACGGTCACAGATTCTGGCCTCCATCTAACTAGGACAGGTCGCATTGTGGTCGGAGCGTGTTGATGTATGGTGGACGCTGAACATGATCCGCCCTAACGACCACTTTAGTCAAGGAATGCGTGAAATGGCGATTCCCACTGATGGTTGCCTCTCCCAAGTGACCATTCACATACAGATGTGCTGCCGTGGGTTGCGGTGGGGTGCTGTGGGGTTTTGGGGGATGCACAGGTTGCAGTATACGACTAAGTGCTTATCAAAAGTCAAAGTCTCAGTATTCGGAGCATTAGACCCGGTTCTTTGCCTGGTAGCTTGTGTGAAAGGAGCATGAGACACGGGACGTGCTGTGCCGTGCCGTGCTCTGCCGTGCCGTGCCGTTTGGGGGGTAGTTGATCAAGACTTCAGTATACCTGAAGAGCGAGGATACCGTATATACATACAAGCGATCACTTCAACAAATTAACTCTCCATAAGCGCCTAGGGGAAACGCACGTGATGTTGTGGTAAAATATTCTCTTTGGTCGGTCATTCATTGCAACCTGGTTACATACTTCCATGCGTGGGGTTGTGCGTAGGCTACCCCACGAAAAACAATTCCACAAGAAAAGGTCTTGCCATGTTCGGTATAGGTAGGGATGGGCCTACCGCGTTTTATATACCTTGCTTGATCTGACGTCCAAAAGACTGACTAAAGAATCATTATGTACAAATGTTCAGCTTTGTAAGCACGTCGCAAAGGGTATTGAATGCACGGATGAGAGATTTCAACGCCTTCAAGCATCAACGTACTAGCGCCGGCCCGCACACTAGCCGCCTGGGATCTACATTCCCGTTCCCGCCCGCACGTATTTGTATCGAACTCTGTAAGGGCATGGTCAGTCGAAATCACACTAGGAATTGAAGAGAAGCAGCTTAGTCAACAACTCTGTTATTATTCGGCGGGAATACTTTGATGTGGCATTTTCAAAGGCGACGACCAGCGGGACAGCGTGATAGTGTCGATGCAGGTTGTTACATATGCGTAGTTTCCTCGGTCTGGTTTCTCATCATACCCCAGCTTTTTGCAAATAGTAGGTTACAATCATGCATGTTATTGAAGCTCCTAACTGCGAACCAAACTGCATCGCTGCCAAAAACTTAAGCATAACTCTCGACGCGTTGCTAACCCTGGCAACGTCAAAGGCAACCCCGCAGGAACGCTTAGAAGTATCCGAAACTTTCGCGCAGGTTGCAAAATACATCCAGCATATATTCAAACACTCTCACGACCGCAGTGTCATTGATGCAGTATGCGACCCCATAACCATTCCCATGCCGCTACCCATAGCCAATCTTCAAACTACATCGTCGACCGAGGATCCGGAGCAAGATCAAGTGGAGGTCTCTAAATCATCTCAAACCTTCAGGCTAGAGGAAAACAAATCTGTTTCAGCACTCAAACTGTCAGAGGGACGTTTTGTTCTTACTCGAGACGACATGGGCGAGAAGATGCCCGAGACTCTCCACAGGCTGTTACAGAGCCCTGAGTTCAAGAACCCAGCAAAACTGAGTTTTATCGGCGAGGAAACTGGGAAAGAATGCATACGCCAGGCCATGGAACGTGAGAAACACCCAGATGTGCGGTACAATCTCATCACACCACGAGCAGAGGGCGGCATGAAAGTTACTAAGAGCAAACCTCCCTCAGGTGACGCTGCGGAGCTCCCCGTCGTCAATTTCGACAGCTCGCTTCCCTACACCCCCCTAGATGAAGCAGTGGCCTCTCGCAAGACCAGAACCGTGTGTCACTTCGCCGGCATCATAGACTGTGACCACCCCATCTACAAGAATACCCCTTTACATTCCGGCCCGTTACTAGCAGGCATGGCAAACGTGCTCACACACGCGAACCAGACATACACACATTTTGGCGATGCGGGGTCCGCTACAGCGATGCACAAGGAAGATGACCGTTTCCTCTCCTGTAACGTAGTTCTCTTTGGCCTCAAGAAATGGGTCATGATTCGAAAAGATGAGACAGAGAAGTTTGAGAATTGGGTCTCCATGCATAACAAGACATGCCGTTGTGATCAATTTGTTCGACACTTGAACATCTTCTTCAGCCCAGAGGAGTTACAGAAGGCTGGGATTGGCTACGATATTATAACCCAAGGTCCGGGTGAGCTGGTGGTCACTCAGGAGTATCAGTACCATCAAGTCTTCAACATTACGCCAACCCTAGCCATTGCAACCAATTTCCTACCGCCCGGTGTACAGCCGAGGGTCAAGAGTGAGCAGGAGCGGCTCAAGGTTTGTTCTTTGTGCGGCATTGGTGGTTTGTATGGACTGGAGGAATTTTATGTTGACTGGGTAGATGATACTTTTCGGCCGGATGGATCACAGAAGAGGAAGTTGATGATTGGTCACGGGAGTGCAAGGAGGAGGAAGAAAATACAAACATGGGAGCCTGCTGTTTCGGCCAGGCAGACCAGACAGTTTACCAGACGACACAAGGCGGAGGATAGGGTGACAGATGACCGTGGAACTGTTGACAGGATGGTGTCTAGGAGACTAGAGACGGTAGTGAATGGAACGGCAGATGACCGAGGCGCTGCCCAAGAGGACGGGGTAGCGAACGATGTCATGCGACGCGCCATGAAAGAACTAGAGCGTGATGGCGAGTTCGTCCTGATACCAGAACTCTCCAATAACACAAACCCAGGTACTCGAGTGAATCGTCTCGCGATGGCCGTCTTGAGCAAGCACGCCATTGAGCAGTTCATCACTGCCATCAAGGTCTCAAAACAGAAACCAGAAGACTTCAGGCGCACGCCGATCGTTTCTCTCCAAGATGGTATCAACACAGAACAGCAAATCATCAAGTCAGTAGCTGAGAGGGTCAAACTCATATCTGGAGACGAAAACAAGGGCAACTACTACACCATTCTGACTCGACACAACCTGTTCCAGTTTGCAACCCGCTATGCCCTATTGAGAGGTGAGCGTCAACACATCAGAAAAGACGTTCTCGACATGGTCGCAGAAATCAGTGGTTGCACAAAAAGCACGATCCAGAAGCGAGCCCAGATCGGAGATAAATGGAAGATGGTCTGTGGCAGATTGACCGACGGCGCTGGACTATTGGCTTTCTTGCCCTGCCGGGACAGTCCTTTCGACGTGAGCCAGTCTTTTTATTTAGACTTGGCAAAGGAGAAGAACAGGGAGGACTTGGACATGTTTCATCGGTTACTGGATCATCAGTACGTACACGAGCTGTGCATGATTGCGAATACGTGGTTTGATGCCGTAGATGGCGGAAAGGAGCTTGTAGATGTGGAAGATATTGATGTGCAGATGTTAGATAAAGATGAGATCATTAGGTATCTTTGGCGTTTGGTACAAACGAAAGATAGTTAAGTATATTATGTCTGTAGGATCAAACGCCATCGCGTCGAAATAAAGAATGATTCTCGATCCTGACATAAGCATCGTGGCAGAGTATGATTGGTGGAGACCCAACCGTCCAGAAGCTAAACATCAGTATCAAAAGCTGGGGTAGCCCTGATTGGTCTAGCTTCCCCAACAGGGATCAGGTGCTCTACTTAGGTATAAGTAGCTCTTCTTCCCCCATCCTAGGATTGAAATAAAGGCTCTTTTAACCCTCTCTTATGTGACCCTCTGCTGTGCGTGTCACAATCAGTCCACGCATCCCTGCTTGGCTTCTTTTCTCTCTGGACACTATTTGGGCGCCTACGAGGATGTAGCAAGAAAAACACCATCAATCCATCTATTGAAATGCTGTCAATGCTCCCGAAATAATCTCTTTTAGTCTCTGACATTGTCACAATGGCTCCAGCCTGAAGGCCCTAGGTGCGCGTCTAAATGCTCTTAGCGCATGGAAACCTAGTGTATCTGTTCAGAGCTTGGCATGGTCAAAGAAGCCGAAGAAAGATCCGCTGACGATCTGCTCCAAGCATGGCAACATCAAAAACAGTGGCATCTTTTTTTTTTTAGGCTTTCACTGTCGGCAATCAGTGCTAAAGCACATCCCCCAAGCCTGAAGCGCCTAAGGATTACAATATGAACATTTTAAGGTCCCCATATTGCTTTCTACTTTTGAAGAGTGAGACGTAAAGAATTATCCAATAAAGCTCCATGTATTCGGGACTCTGTGAGTATTCAGGTGATCAGCTAGGTCAACCACTCTGGTGCCTCTGAAAGGCGTTGAAGCCTAGAACACATCTCATCAAGCATGCCACAGCTGCTTCCGAGCACAGGTCCCCCAACGATTAAGTGAAACCACAACCCTATCACGCATTGTGGCTTCTGCTTGTTATTCTCTGAGCTTTGTCTTCTTCTACTATTGTTTGGTGCTGGATACTTAATTTGTCATCCATAACTAGGCCTTGAGCTGTTTCTTGTGTTGATTGAAACCTGTTTTCCCCCTCTTTACGTTTAATCTACCTCACTTCCAAAGGCCAACCGGAAAACGATGAATCATAATACAATCATTCATCCTTCTGCATACTACAGATACCACAATATTGAAGTATGGCTGAGACTTCAACGAGACATTTACAGCCAAGTCCATTCCCCATCAATCCCATTACTACATCCCTGTATCCCCCTAAGAACTTTTAAGTAGCTCAGAAAAGCGCTCGTCAACAGAGTGAATCTTGATGTTGGGAAACAAGTGATTGTGTGTCTGGCCTTTTGGCATCCATAATCTACCTTGGCCTTGGACGTGTCGTAGAGCGATAATGAAGTCCAAAGAGAATTTACTTTTACCAGAAAAAGTGGACCGGGCCGAGCTAGGATTGCATATCATGCGCTCGGCTGATTGCCAATCAAGCAGGTTGATTGTGACCTTTTTGCCACTGTGCTTTCTGAGCAGTTGCGCAACTTCCTCAAAGTTTGTTATATATCCCTGGAAGAAGAGTATTTGATTTTCTGACACCTCGGGGTGTTGAATGGATTCGACCAGATAAGCTGCCACATCGAGATCTGATATATAATCCATCTTGGCTGCGGAGTCCCCGACGGCAATCATGTTGTATTCTTCTGCTTGGGGGTCTAGCCAAGGACAGAAAGTTGTCTCGCCAGCAGCATCAAAACATTCACTATTATTAATCACAGTGTATGTCATTCGCCCCTCACAGATAGCAGGATGTTTTAGAGCAGCCTCTAAAGTCTTCATTTTAAGGTCCCAGGTCTAATGTGAATATGTTAGCTTAAGGTTCAAGCAGCTTAGAAATGACCCCCTCGGATTGAAGATAGAATGAGGGGATTGGAGGCATACCGAATTGATCATGCTGACGTCTTGAGCCTCGAAACGCACAACCTGAGGCATTCCAAAGCTGCTGGGATAGAATCTGCGAACTCCAGCTTTTGCGGCAGCATCTTGTATAACGTGCTGATAAGGCAAGACCTCAGATCCCACAGCACTGACGACAACATCAACACCTGCAAGCATCGAACTGAGGCTATCTGCGTCAATCAGAGTGAGATCCACCCCATAGACGGTCAAATTAGAGACCCAATGATCAATCTTCAAAGAAGACTCAGGTCGAATGAAAGCAACTAGTTTGAAGGGCCGTTCTGGATATGCAATTAATGTACGAAGAATCCGGTTACCAAGTGTTCCATTGGCCCCAAAAAGCGCAACTGTCGTCTTAGGCATGGTGAAATGGCGATTTTGTAGAGCTTGCTAGATGGCCTGTGTGAAAGGAAAGCTGTAGAAGGGATTTATATTATGTTCTATTATTTCTGATACAGTGAAAAGAAATCCAAATTTATAACTACGTCATTCTGAGACGTAAGTCTTTATCAGATCTTGCACATGAACATTTTGTCCCCCGGGCTTTTCAACTTAGGTTTAATCTGAGACAACGTCATATCTTTGTAATGCCTTTGAATAAACTGTTCGTCACATGTATGGCATCAAGGAACAGCGACATCTCAAATTCTAGTGAGGATCGGTCCTATCGTATCTTCCTGGAGCGGTTGAATCATATTTCTGGCGTCGCTTAGGCACATAATGTATCATGCATCATCTCACAAATGCATCAAGTGACAGTAGGGTAAGCCAATTGTAAGCGTTAGGGAGAAACAAAGAGGCAACGGTACGGCAGTTTTCCAGCATGTTGCGATAAGTATGGCTCACCAATAGGTTGCAGGCCTCATTTTCTGAGCCATTTACAGCTTGTTCTGCTATCCTGTCCTAGCATGCATGAGTTGGCTGACTCACACCCACTGCAAAAGGTGCAGCACACCGCTATTTAGAAACATCATGTGCTTCCTTCAGTCTACTTCACTCCAGCAACGTATCAAGCCGAGAATATGAGGTCAATTCATGCAGTTACCACGCAGTAGTTACCCAGGAGAAAGTTGGCTTTCCCACCGGCCGTAAGCCAGACTATATGACGTATGCTTCGATTTGCGAACTGGCAGGTCTCTTGAAGCTCATGAACGGTTGTGATATGAAGAGTCGTTGAGGTGAGAAATACCATAGCAGCCTGAAAATGAAATCATTTGCAAGGATAGGTTGTTGAACAGAACACTGTCTTGTATCAAAGACAGATGTAGGGCACGGCTCGGCTTGGCAGTTGACTTGCTCCACTCCACCAATACACCACTGTATGTGGTAGACCAGTAGCCATGCTACACACGAAGGATGCTTTTACAATGAAATCTATCGTGACACACCTCTGGAGTGTTTTAGATAATCTTATTGATGCTCTATAGTGTTCTTCGATTTGCGATTAAGATCGCCAGCCCGGCAGATAATGAGTCACAGCGAACCTTGTACATGAGTCGAACTCTGGCCACCTAGCTGTCTCAGACGTGTTTGCCTCGCAATGAGTAAATCGCCGATAGGGTCAATGAAGCTTTGATGGATCAAGATCCTTCTGATTCAATCTGCTTGGTGGTCGGCTGCAGACTCGAGTGCTTCACCGACCTTCTTGTTGCTGAGAAGGGAATCATTCGGGCTCAATTCTTGGAATGGTTTCGTGTATAATGTAGTGTACGATAAGACTGGCAACGGGACAGTATGACGTAGCGTGTATACAAATACCATTCGTATCACCATGCTGTCGGTTCTGAAGCCTGGCACGGATTTCTCTCCAAGTACTCTTACCAGAAAAGGATTTTAAGATACGTTCCACTGTCCATCTTACTTTGTTAACTTGTAAGAACTTTCAAAAAAAATGTCTCTGCACCTTTCGAAGCAACAGAAGGTTTGGGCCACTATCGATGAGCTCGTCTCAGCCAAGAAAGAATTTGAGCTTGACGGGACGTCGCTCTCAATTGCTGCATTGGTCGCCATATCTAGGTAAATCTCAGCACATTTCCATCCATAATTAAATCGTATCTCTGATTGTGATAGATATGGGCTACCTTTCACGGTTTCTAAATCGCATGAGCTTGCGGGACGGATGAGCAAAAGCATCGATGTTCTTAACGAAAACCTCTACAAACACGATGTCGTTTATGGTTTGTATAAACGCATCCCCTTATCGAACGCAGTTAATGATTCAACCAACAGGTGTAAACACGGCTCCCGGAGGAAATGCAGACTCCCGAACAAGAACCAGCAGCAGACTTCAACATTCATTTTTCCAGCATCATCAAGCAGGTATTCTACCAGAGACAGTATCAGGTTCGGCAGGGCAAACTATCGATCCGCAAAGCCTTTCTGAAACTGTGGTACGAGCACTGACGGCTGTGCGATGCAACTCTCTTGTGAGAGGCCACTCTGCTATTAGGCAGGAAGTAGTAGAGTCACTGGCTATGATGACCTCTCAGGGCATCACGCCATTGATTCCAACCCGCGGGAGCATATCTGCCTCTGGAGATTTATCCCCTCTCTCATATCTTGGAGGGCTTCTGGAGGGGAGCGAAGGCATTTATGCCCGTGTGCCCGGTCCTCAGGGCCATTCGAACATAGTTCCCGCCTGTCAGGCACTAGAAACCCTGGCTCTACCGCCCGTGGCTCTGGAGCCGAAAGAAGGCCTTGCTATCATGAATGGCACAGCTGTCAGCACTGGATACGCCGCTCTAGTGATTAACGATTGCCATGACTTGGCCGTCATCTGCCAGCTGCTTACCTCTATGGCCGTCGAGGCTTTATCTGGCAAGCGGAGCAATTTCCATCAGTTTATTTCCGAAGTACGGCCCCATGCTGGTCAAAATGAGGTCGCAAGCAATATTAGAGATTTCTTGAGTGGATCAAAGCTTTGCAGTGCCGACGATATCGACTCTCAAGGTTTGGCGCAGGATCGCTATGCGCTTCGAACTGCACCCCAATGGATTGGTCCACAGCTGGAAGATTTATGCTCAGCTGAGGCCCAGATTTCGGTCGAACTAAATTCGACAACGGACAATCCACTCATTGACGTTTCGAACAACTGTGTTCATCATGGTGGCAATTTCCAGGCCGCTTCAATAACCTCTGCGATGGAAAAGTCACGCACTGCCATTACTATGCTTGGAAGAATCTTGTTCGGCCAGTCTGGAGAGCTCGTCAACCCAGACTTAAACAAGGGTTTGCCTCCAAACCTTTCCGCAGATGACCCTACAGTCTCCTTCACCTGCAAAGGTATCGAAATCAACATGACTGCATACTATTCAGAACTGTCCTTCCTGGCAAACTCCGTCGCAAGCCATGTTCAGACAGCAGACCGAAACAATCAGTCGGTCAACTCGCTTGCTCTGATCTCAACAAGAATGACCGAGAAAGCGACGGAGCTACTGGCTATGATGTCCGCCAGTCATCTATTCACACTATGTCAAGCCCTGGATTTGCGTGCGCGTGACGAAGACTTTCTCCAAGAAGCTCGCAAGTTGATGCGAAAGAATTTTACAGATCTCTTCACTGGGACTCTCAATAGTGACGAGATATCAACCGCTGTCCCCTCTCTGTGGACAACCTTCCGTTCATCATGGCAGAAGAACAATACACTCGAACCAAAGACAAGATGCCAGCAAGTCTCTTCCGATATTGTATCATATCTGATGGACAAGTTCGACTTCTCGACTGGAAAGCTTGCACACATTCTCCAACGGCTTCAGGGTTGGCAGAATGTTCTACGCAATGATCTAGTATCTGAATACACCTCAGTGCGAGATGCCTTCTTCATCAAGCAATCGACTCATTTGTATCTATCAAAGTCCACCGTCAGACTGTACAATTTTGTCAGAAACCAGTTACAGGTTCCTTTTCACAAGGGACTACCTGATCACCCTCCTCTGAAAGACCAGAGCGAACACAAGCAGGCTGCTGAAACGATTGGGACGTGTATTTCTCGGATCTTTGTAGCTATTCAGGACAAAACTATAATTCAGGCCATCAAAGAATAGCGAGCAAGGATGGATGGCTAGTATCTGGACTGTCTCTACTAGAGTTGAATGTATTTTCCTATCGTATTATCTCTGAATCTTGGCAGGACAGTCCTTTGCGTAACCCTTCTTGTTCAGGTGCAGATCAAAAGCCTCATGCGTATCACTCAATGCATACATGCAGAGAAACTATGAGTTCAATTGTCTTAAATCAACCAATCTATTTCTTGATTCTGGCAATTAATCTTTATATGCATGTATGTCCTTGACTTCAATCTTGCTCTTATCAATCTGATTAGACTTCTTAAAGGTATCATGACAAGATCAAAGGTTTTTACAGCGTTGCTAGCGTAGACTTCCCTGAAAGGGCTGTTGCTTTATTGATAGCAACTCCTGTGTTCAATTTGATCTTTAGGTATATCAGAATGTTCATTTAGACCTGAGTATCGATCACGATCTAAGTAGCGATCTCGATCTCAGTCTCGATCGCGATCTAAACATCGATCACGATCCAAGTATCGATCATGATCTTAGTACTGATCACAATTCAAATATTAATTAGGACAAAAATATTAGTCATCATGGCAATATTATAGAGATCATAACCTCTTCCATTTCAAAAGCACAATCTAGTTATACAATGAAGAGCTACAAACTCCCACTTACAAACCATCATTAGCACCCTCCGCATCGCGATGGCATCTCAATATGGCCCCTCACGACTGAACTTTAGATCAAGTCCAAACTTCATTAGAGGCTCTGTGGCAATAGGCCTCTTCACTGATCTCCTTCTTCACGGCATTATAGTGCCTGTACTTCCCTTCATCTTACATGATCGATTTCACCTTCCCAACTCCCACGCCCAATTATGGGCATCAAAACTATTAGCCATATATGCAGCATCTACCGTTGTATTCTCCATTCCGTCGGGATGGCTTGCCGATAGATGCAGTACTCGTCGACTCCCATACCTTATTGGCCTATTTCCATTGATTATAGGAACTGTTCTTTTCAGCCTTGGCCGATCTATGGCAGTTTTGATCCTCTCAGTACTACTTCAAGGTACATCAGCTGCAGTAGTACGTTCAGTTGGGTTCGCTATGGCTCAAGAAAGTATCCGAGGAGAAAATACGGGAAAGGTCCTTGGGACGGTGCGTATATTCCCATAATAGATGTCAGGCATATGGCTCACGAACCAGATCAATTCCTTCGGCATGATCGCACAGGTCATAGCTCCCATCGTCGGGGGCGCTTTATATAATGCCACCGGCATGCTTGGAGTCTTCATAGTCTCTATAGGGGCGTTAACAATCGACTTGGCCCTACGGCTGTTTGTCATGGAAACGAACAAGGATAAGAGCACCGAAACAAATGAAACTCCGCTAGACAACACCTCTAGAACATGCGAGCCAGAAAACTGGGACTATGTTACTGAAAACCGAGCTCTGCTTCCAAAGGCTAATGACACAGCGGGTGAACCTGATGGCGATATTGGACCTTTAGTGCAAGCCATACCTGTCCTATACTGTTGTCGTCACTCCAGGTTCTTGATAGCCATGGTGTCATCAGCTACCGCGGCAATGTTTATTGGCATGCTTCACGCCACCATTCCTACTGAGGCAAGCCGTTCCCTGCATTTCTCACCTCTTCAGACCGGGTTCCTATTTATGGCATTTGTCGCCCCTTGTTCGCTATGTGGTTGGTTTGTGGGATGGGCAGTTGATAAATATGGGACTAAGATAGTGGCGACTGTTGGTTTTACGTTTCTGGCATTTCCTCTTGCTGGCCTTGGTTTACCTTTTCACGAATTTGTGGCAGGGCATGCCAAGGCGGGACTGTTTAGCATCGTTTTATTACTGAACGGGGTCGGGCTATCAATAGTTCTCTTGCCTAGCTTCGTGGAGGCGAGCAGCGTCTTGCAGAGCTGTAAGAAGGCCAACTCTACCGTCTTTGGGGCTAATGGCTCCTATGCACAATTGTTTGGTTTTCACTCGGCTTTCTTCTTCCTTGGGCTTGCAGCTGGGCCAATACTCGGGGCTCCATTAACGAAGTACGCTGGATACACAGGCACAGGAATTGTCTTTGCATTTCTGTCGGGCGTTATGGCAGTATTGTCATTTCTGTTTATAGGTGTCAAGAAAGAAACAAGAGATGGGCGTATGTAATATCCAATATAGACGACTAAGCGATCAGTTCAGTACGATGGATATAAATATGTTTGCGATGATGTATGTTACTACGTGATGTCTAAGCTTAGCAGTGACGTTTTGCTCTGAATTAGTTTTTCTCTTCAACCCTGTCCCTAATTTGGGGACATTGAAATCATAAACGGCCCTGGTGTCGCATCGGAGGACCATTGATGGATGTTAATTATAAGAAAGGTCGTGATGTCTACTCTTTAAGTACAACTTTCACATTACTCCATCTTCACCGGTAATTTATTTGCTTCACGAATTAAGTTGTGTAACACATCGTCACTGGTTAACACGGTTTGAGCTGCCTCTTTCGCCTTTCCGTCTATCCACCCTTCATTTCTAACAGTCTCGCTCATAGATGAATGTAAATAAGTGATGCAAGGGATGGACTTTCTTGCCATTTCAATGGAAGTCATTGCCGTCTCCATGTTTTGAGCTAACATGAGGAGAAAAGTGATGCGGTCATGGCTATCTGTGTTTTCGGCTTGCAGCCATGTGTATCATCATCGGGTCTGCCGATGTCTTCCGAAACTGAGTAGCAAGTAGGGCAAAATACTGAGGCATGATACTCTTTACTACCAAACAAGTAACATCCATTCTTGGCTTCCGGTTGTCACAGGATCCTATTACCAAAAGCGAAGTCTGGACTGATGTACCCTTGATATCAACATCTGATTTCGCTTCATCTGTGTCACGGAGATTCCTTGAGTCTAACTTAGGCCACCCTAGTTTTGAGAGCTTGGTTGCAATTCCCGCGCTGCAGTAAACAAACGTCCGTCAAGTCTGATCTCAACCATTTTGATGATGATGACGCCTGCTATATCTCAGCTATTCGATTATCACCCTCTCAATAACTATTCTATGTAAATAAGCACGTGGTGCTCAGATTGGTGAAGGTGCCCGATTTCTTTGGAGCCTTTTGTTGCAATGAGACCCTGGCTGCACATCAAGCTTCAACGTCGCGGTTTCTGAGCAGAAAAGTACAATGCCAACTTTCTCTAGCTCCCCTAATGGAGTAGAACTATCAGTTCATGGAAGAATCAGTTTTATTAATATTATGTTACATGCATCGGGGGGTCGCAGCCCTCATGCCTCTTGCGTCTTGAGACGCCTCCTGCCGCGTCTCACTGCCGTACTCTACAACTTTCCGATTATCAGATAATATCCTAATGGCGACGGAAAAGCCATTCGCTAGTGATGTATCGATCATCAATAATGTGGCGTTGCCAGGGACTAGACTGGAAACACAACAGCTGCGGAATTTAGTAGGAATTTAGAGAGGAAACACTCATGTTGAAGGGATGCCAAGCTTCAAAACCAATCACTATGAATCGTCGGTACCATTCGATGATTCCGTATCCCCCCTCCTCAGCTCCTATGCAAGTCTAGTTACAAAGCCAGAATTTTGCCAGAAAGTGGTCCATCTCTGAGACACTTTCCAGCCCACCACGAAAGGCAACGTGCTGATCCGGTCGGATCAACATGATGCAGCCCGTTTTAGGGATGGCCAAGTCCCGATACACCATACCACCAAGTCCAGTGTGAGATGCCGTGTCCACAAATATCTTCGTATAGTCGATTCCCATTGGACCCTGACTCGGCGTGAAGATCCTCGGAAGATCATCCAACTCAACAATGTCACGCGATGCGCAGTGGATGAGAGTGAGCTCGATGCTGGAGAAACCGCAGCCTCTCGATGCTCGATTGATCTTCCCCACAAGAGAGCTAGATCGAGATAGGCTCTCCGCAATCTTGTGGACACGGCCCATCTGACTCTTTTTGGACACATTTCCGCCAAGAATGAGTAAATTCCATCGACCAGCTTTGTTTAGGACCTCGTGCATGCGCCATGGGCGGCCATCACTGTGATTCACGACCATCATGTCTGGGAACCTGGAACCTGCTCTTAGAGCCCGATCGGAATCTAGATCATTAATCTGAGTCTCATGCACGAGAAGATTTGGTCGATAGATGACCCCCAGGCCCGAAGCAGACGAGTTTTCTTCTTGGATTGTTTGCTTCATGGCTTCGCAATCTTGATCATCTGGCTTGAGGGACACCATTCTGTAAATCCTTTTGTCGAAATCAAGAAGTGCTTGTCCCACAGGTAGCCTTTCTTGCTGATATGTCTCAAGAATAGCAGGCGTTGCAGACCCGAGCACTACAGAAGAGATCTTCCATCCGATATTGAAAGCATCCTGCATACTTGTGTTCATACCTTTTCCGGCTTTTGGTGTGTGCGTATGAACTGCATCGCCAGCAAGAAATACGCGATCGCGGAAAGAGTATTGCCGACAAAGCCGTTGCCCGACATGCTTTATATCAGCTTTGAAGAACACAACAAGGAAAATAAGACAAACTTACTGAATAGACACTGGCCCAATCGATTATTGAGCAAGAGAAATAGTACGGTTTGAGAATTTGAGTAACTTTGTCTATGATAATGCTGGTCTGTTTCTTCTGGTCTAGTTCTCGGGAAGATGACGATAATTGAACATAAAACCTGACCATACGGCGCTCTCGAGGTATCAGCATGGCACTTCCCGAGGTAGAGTGTATAACGCATCGCTTTCTGACGTCAGCTGTTCTTGTGTTAGCCTTATGGGCCTGGCTTGCGGTTTGATGATGCCCTACGAAAATTGGTAATAGGGATGCAGTCAATCACCCCCCAATGCTCGTTCGCACTTTCGCCTTCGAGCTTCAAATCGCATTGTTTGCGGACCCAGCTATGGGACCCATCGCAACCAAGCAAGTAGCGAGCTTGGATAATGCTCAATGGTCCTTGCATCGGCTCATGTCCCTCGTCCTTGTTGGAGTATTTACCGCCGCAGCGAGCTATCTCCAGTTGAATCGGATAGTCATCCACTGAACTACCTCCCCTGGTGATAAATCTCAAGCTATGTGGCTCGTAAGGTCTCAGGACGGTGACATTTTTGTGAGATTCGATAAAGTCCAGAAACAGTTGTTGAACACGACCCTGGGCTAACGTTGACTCAGCATACGATGAATGGTATTCACCCCCATTGATCATATTCGGCCGTGTAAATACTCGACAAATTGAACCACCCTGGTCGTTCTAGGCCTTCCGTTAGCAGACGTTTTGGCTTGTAACGATGGATCCACGGGGAAATAGCCATACTGTCTGGCCTAGATTTCATTGCATATTTTGCATCTTACGTGAGAACGTACCCAGTATGCTATCTCAACAGTCTTGTTTGACTCTTTCCACGCAGCATCCACAAGACCAAACGTTTCAAGCACTTCAAAAGTTCGACATTCGATGCCATCTGCGTGCCCCGACTTTGGAGGTGAAGAATTTTTGTCGACGAGGAGGGTCTTGATCCCAGAAACGGACATCCAAGCTGCTGCGGTGAGACTATTAGCACACGTGTGATTAGCTTTCCTTATATTAATTTTTCCTTGGGTAGGATTTCTCTTACCCAGCGGGACCAGCCCCGATGATAACCACGTCGTACTTATCGTGCATGTTTCTTCAGGCGAAGCAGAGATCAGCAGGTGTCATAGGCAAGGATAGTATGTTGACAGTACTGCTGACTTGGTCGGTAGATAGGAGTTCTGAGCCAAATGATCAATCAGTATGCGTACATCGTGGGATCTTTATATGAAAAGAGAATAGTCGTGCTTGGGGCAATCAGTCTGTCCGACACTCGAGAATACGCGAGTTGACTGCAAGATGAGTATTGCGCACGTCCCTTGTGAGACATGCTTGCATCACGCCTCAAGTTCTTCCGGTGAGACGCATCGACCGCTAGTCTCGCAGTCGTATTAGATTATGAGGGGTGCTGTGATGACAAGATATATTCCCGGGGCTGATCGTGCTGTGTGGGTGCAGTATCCATTTTGAGCCAGCATTATCTTCACAATGAATATAATCCCTCTTTTAAAAAGACTTTATTGAGGGTCTTGGAATGGCAGGTGCCAATATAGTATGAGTTTGAGCTACACTTTAGGTTTGATCAGATTATGGCTAATGGATGACTGTCGCTGCAGCTGGCTTTTTGCAAGGGTAAGGGCCGGATAATTAATGTTGCATTTGTTCTATTGATGTTGTCTTCAATTTGCCAAAAAGAACAAGGATCATATGGTAAAAATCTTGGTCTTCCTAATGACAATTGCGTGTGTAGGTAGTAACTAGTTTAGAACCATACGAGCATTTCATAAAGGGATGTTCATGTAACAAGGGATGATGGGAATTAGGATCTTCCATACACGAATACGGCTAAATCTGACTTTGCTAGAAAATATGTCTCAATACCACGCTTTGACGATAAGAGCCGAAAGTTCTCAGACATTTAATATCTCCCGCGCGGGCGACATGTATGGACTTACTGCTATGCATCAAAGCGGCGTGGCCAATGGCATGCTTGCGCGGCAGTACACATCCAGGATCGGCGAGACAACGCGGCAGAGATGCATAGTAGCTTATCTGTAGACAGCTTTCCCTTAACAGTTCATAGAGAACATCTCTTTTCTACCTTTATAAGAAGAGGCCAATTTAAGAGATCTAAGAGTTATTATAGTTTTAGAGTTTAATATAAGTTAGCTTAATTATATTTAATACACTTTAATATTAATTAATTAAAAAGATATTATTACTTTAACTCTAAAAGTGTTAATAATAAAATAGAAAATAAAGGTTTTTATTAAATTATATATTATTTATAAAATTAAAATATAATTAAATTAAAATACTTCTAACTTTAACTTATATTTAATAATAGTACAAAACTGTTAAAATTACAAACTTTTCTACTTTTACAAAATTATTCTCTTTAGGCCCTCATAGTGACATTCCACAAACTACAGGAGACATGGCCCTGTTGGACAGCGACTTATACAGCTGGAATCACTTGCTGTGAACTCGACGTAGCATAAACTCAGCTCTGCCAGAATTTTCACACTGCTCTTTGAGACTTCACGATGCGTCGTGGCAGCGCTGCCTCAGACGCGTGATTTGCCATCTCGTGCGGCTGAATGCTGAAAATCGCCTGTCTCAGCCATCTCTCCAACCCCCGTTGCGATTTCAAGCCACAGCATACCCTATACTCCCTACGTCTCGTTGTTCGCTTGAAAACCCTTATTTGTTTTGGTAGGATCAAATGCCCAAACAAATCCAGTAAAGACCTTCCCAGGCTAGTACACCTAAACCCATTGTGGTGCGCAAAATCAGGGTCTCATTTTCTTATCTTTCCTACAGTCTAGATCCTCGTCAATGCTTGTGGCAATAATTCCTCACCGCTCGGAAAGCAATATTGCGCATCAGTCGTGTGAGGGGGTGCCTTGTGTCGACGTTCAATTGGCCAATGCTGCAGGTGATACTGTGATGAGCATTTCTGTCTTGCATCGACACCCATATGTCACCAACACCAAAAACGCCCAGTTTTCAATGTCACCCTCAGCTTTCCAATTGAGGCTCTGCCCCCCGCATTGCCCTGTGTTTTCTCTCCAAGCCTCCGCCGCGGTGATTTAAAGCGAGTCATGGGGTGAAAATCGCTCATTCTGCCTCGCCAATTACCAAAGCTCAGTCTGCCTCACGCGCAAAGTCGCCGGATCAGATATGCCCGAGACCAGCTATCCTGATTACGACCTCCTACCAGCCGTTTTTGAGGCTTGGCTGCAAGACAGATTTAACGACAAGACAATTACTGTCCAAGTAAGTTAGCGTATTTGTTCATCGATTTACGAAATGGGTATCGGCTGAAACATGGCAGTGTAAGAATGGCAGGCTTGTGTTCAATTTGCCCGATGGTCAGAATTTGACCGTTGTGAGTTCCACAGGGACTAAATACGGGGCTATGAGCTGACTGTCACCCAACAGGAAGACGACATAGCGATCAATAAACTGCAGGGGAAAGACACCTACCCGTAGCGCAATCGCTCGTATGCGTGTAAACTCAGTCGCCTGCGACGCGAAGGCCGTACAGTTTGAGATTGTGTATGTGGCTGGCACAACCAACGCGATGAACAACGCGATGAGCCTGACCCGGAAAAATATATAGCAATTGAGTTCCATGAAGATTTATGTGTTGATTCAATCCAAGATATATTCTTTGTTCTAATATTTGCTCTCAACATCACCATATCAATCATGAATACCTCCGACACGTTGATCGACTGCTGTAAAAATTGGCCCAAGTATCCCCGCCACTTACTACAACCGTGCCACAGACGGAGTGTACTTGATGATTACCGCGTGCGCCTTGATAAACCAAAAAGGCCGCTCTTTGATGCCAGCCAGGAAAAGATCCATTTCCTCGAGCCTCAGGGTTCTGTATACGGTCGGTTATGATTCAGAACGTCTTTTGATAGCATTATCTCATAATTCACTTTAGGTTGCAAGGAAACGACAATTGCTAGCCCAGCTGATCTCGAGAAGCATCTCGGACAGAACAGTGAAGATCCTCATTACTGTATGATGTAAGTCGATTGACGCGCACAAAGTCGCAATTATTTGATGTTGATTCATGATAGTTTCATTCAGTCAAAGAATTCGCGATCTCCATTGAATTGTTCACATCATAGCTTCTGCTATTTATCGACCTTCTACCAAATTCCAGCCAGCTTCCTAGATCATCTGTTTTCTTTCGGCCAGAACCCGGAACCTTTGGACTACCATATGACAGGCTTCAATGGCTCCGACACCCTAGATTCTCCCCAAAGCGACATCGTCGAAATTCCCAAGCTGGGGCGCTCTGGTCTGGAACACGTTATGCAATACCTCCTGCGCTCTGTTGAGTGGGATGTAAAGCATAGTGCCTGGAAGATTCGCCAAATGGCTGTGCACCACAAGTATGACCTAATTACTGGGAAAGCATTTTGGCTCAACATTAAAGCCAATTCTATTATGCAAGATAGGCTCAAGGAATCGATCGCTCATGACCTAAAGTTCAACCCGACATTAGCAAAAGGCTTGGCATCGTCTTTCGCTGCCACTTTGATGACACATCTCGTGCATATCGAGTGGTGTGATGAGTCCTGGCGACAGTGCATCAATGACCTGGAGGAAAAGATACGCGCTGTTCTGCAAAAAGCAAAAACAGCGTCCGTCGGTCAGCAGCCTGATTTACCTGCCGCTGTGAAAGCCTTGACCAGCAGAAATGATACTACAGCATTTGGCGCACCGGAAAAGCCTACTTCGCCGAGCCCTGCATGTTTCAATCCTTACGAAGCTATTGGAAAGCCACTCACATCGTATCTGCAGTCAGCCCTTGGCAAACCGTCGCCAAAAGCGCATGCGACCCCCTTGCTCCCTCTGGCCCACAAGACCGCTGCGGCCCCAGTGTCCGAGACCGACGATAATCTGGCCAAGCGTCTCAAGAGCCTCAAAGCACTCGAGGCATTCTCTGTGGAGGATCTGCAGCTTCTGCATTATCTCGGTGAACAGCTGGAGAACTTTCGCTTAGTGATGCTGTTGAACCGCCAGACATTGCGAGACATCTCTGAGCACTACCAAGACCTGACAGCCCGAGACAACTTCCCCCCAGCGCAGAAAGCAGAGTGCGTGCGGAGCGTGGCTTCATTGGTGCGGCGAGTGGAGCGCGTGAGGAAAAACCTGGAAATTCGGGTTACACAGATTGAATCACTGCGGGCTTGGCTGCAGGAGGGAAAGACACTGGTAAATCCAATTGGACGTCGTATGATATGACTTGCTTACCAACATCTCTTAGCTTGAGGGAATACTGCAGTATCGCAGCGTTCAGGTTAGCCACATTTTCACCGAAAGCTCTCACAGCCAGTCGGCCAAGATGGAGCGCATTGCATACAAGACAGAACAAGAAACGATCTCGATGCACGTTATAACGTGTGTCACACTTGCTTTTCTGCCTGGCACATTTGTGGCTGTAAGCTCGTCTCCAATCTCTCAATCGGGGAATGCTAACAGAGATCCCCCCTCTTCTCAGGCCTTTTTCCAAAGTGGACTGATTGATGTGAATCAGGCTGCGAGCGATGTCCAAGGCGCTGTCAGCTTCCATCCGGGAGCCTTCAAGCTTTTCGCTGCAATATGTTTTCCTTTAATGTTCCTCACATTTGTCCTCTGGGTGGTTTTGTTTAAATTCCTGGCAAGTCGAGCGAGGAAAGGAGTGATGGAGGATAATGTTCAAATTGTTTGAGCTTTTTGCGATCAAGAACAGGTGATAGATTATACACGCCTCAGGGCTCATAAATACCGTAATTGACGTAATTTTAGACTGGAGAAATTATAGGTTCAGAAAGACTGAACCTCTGATACATCTGACATCGAGAATCGAGCTTGGTGACATGAAGCCAGCGTCCTGGAGAGGAGGATGCCCAGTCTGGGACAAGGCTCTGGCATCACCAAATTGCGTGCGCGGCTTAGACGCTTTACAAATCGATAGGCTTTCCCGGCACCGCCACTCGAGATTTACTGTAGAGAAACACTGTGCAGGCAACCAGGCACCCAGGTCCGTGTGTAAGGCGTGGTAGAGCTCTGACAACTGGCAGATGTGGACCTTTCTGCCTTATCCGACCGTTGTTACAACCCTGCCATCGACAGTCTGGCCCTTGAGGGCCTTCCCCAATCGATTAGTGCCCCGTAAGCTATTATATATACTCTCAGCACCACGACCGATAATCCCCGCCTTCGCAGCGTCTCGCATTGACATCTCCGTGAACCGGCCACTCAAATCCCAGCAGTACCCAAAGCCCCCATTTCAGCATGGATTCGGGGCCTCAGAAGAAGTTCTGCACTTACGTGGAGTCGAAGCTAGTCAACGGTGTGAATGGGCACGGTGAAACGGTCGCCTACGTTCCCGGTTCAGATTTGGAGGATTACTGGTCGCAGGCGAATGTTGATGACATTCTGGACTCGCACGACCGGCCTATTCAAGAAAACTCCACTTACATTACGAAGAACCTCCGCCACATCTTCTCTAATCTGGTGTATACTGGTCACACGCCACAGATTTCTTGGTTCTGCCAACATGTCAGGAACTTGAGCGACCATCACCTCCCATTTAGCGCACAGGAGCTTCCCCCAAACTGCACTTGGTCCAAGGACTTTCTTGAGCACCAATGGAAGTTTTGCCCACTCTCATTCACGCATGAAACCATCTACAAGCGTACCCTGCACTCCAAACACATTCTACCTGTAGCATATGAGGATTGTCTCACAGACTCTGCTCGTCCTTCTGGCGCTGCCACTCTGTGGCGAGTACACATGCAGTCTGAATGCACACTGCCTTTGTCAAAGGTCAGGGTCCACGCCTGCAGCACCATCAATCTACACCCTTGTACTAACTATGTACTTAGGCTGGTACAGTCGTCTTCAAGATATACGAGGGTGCAAGCGCACAACGCCTCTACAAAGCTGAGGCAGAAGCATACAATCAGCTTCTCCGCTCCCGTAATGAGGGGTATATCACAAAACACTTCGCATCGTTTTCATTCGATGACATTGAGAAGTCAATCATTGTTCTTGAGTATGCCGAGGGAGGATCTTTACTCAACTTCCTAGAAAGCACGAATATTCCTTTCACCCTAGACGAGTATTGTTTACTTTGGTCCTGTCTTCTGAACTTGTTCGATGCGCTCCATGCGCTTCATGACATATGTAGGCCGACGTCCCATTGGTCTCTGTTGGGGTAAGCTTACTCGCACACGCAAAGCTTGGGATTTTTATAATTAATATGCACGGTCCAGGGTCCATCAAGATATTCAACTCAGCAACATCCTGGTGTTCCCTAAGGAAAACAAAAGCTCACAATTCGATGTCGTTTTCAAGCTAGCTGACTTCGGTTTGGCCAAGATCGGGAGGACGTTTTCCTCAGGAGAGAGCCTGATCACCAGTAAAAAGGGCAACAGAATGTATAGTAAGAAGACCTCCGAGGACATTATCTTGGTAACAGACTAATGGTGACAAAGCATCCCCCGAGACTTATGCAAACTATCGTGTGCAAGACCGGGCCAGGATAGAGATATCGCCTGCCTGCGACATCTGGTCGCTGGGTGCCGTTTTCAGTGATGTTCTCATTTGGTCCATCATGGGTGAAAGCGGTCGGGAAGACTATCGCCTCAAAAGACAAGAAGAGATCTCAAACGAGCCACATCTCAGAGCGTCAAAACACGACGCTTGTTTCCATAATGGAACCTCAAGGCTAACTGCCGTTGATAAATTTCACGACTACGTTCTTCAAGGTAAAAGAGGAACTGACCACATATCACCTCATATAAGCCAGCTTATCATCGAGTACATGCTCACAGATCCCCTTCAACGACTTAACCCCATGCAGGTGAAGCTAAGAGCTGATAAGAAGATTAAAATGGTCCTGAATGGTCCGGGAGACGCAACACCTGTTTCTCCTGGTTCGTTTACCAATGGATGGCATTCACCGTCCATCCTCACATCTATATCAACCCCGACGCCACCCCCTCAGAAACGTGCAACATTACCTTTCACAACAGAACCAAGGCCGAGTCATGCGCCAGACAGATCAGTGCGTCAGTCGTATCCAATGGAAACACGGAACCCCATTTCAGAAACGAGCGTTGCGCCAAAGCCCCTAACTCAGCATGAACCTCCTACCGAATCCCCGGCCCCAGAACCATTATCAACACTGATGAACCATAATGTACCGATGAATGAAACCGCTAATACAAGCACCTCGGTGACTGTGGACCAGGTTTATCAATTACTGGAGCAGAAAGACCGGCTTTTGCATTTTCCTGGTCCACTAGGTGCGAAAGCAGACAAGGGGGCTGAAATCATGGATCTTCCTGGAATGCAAGAAGCGCGCAGCAAAATTTCAGAAACCAAAGGGCGAGATCAGGTAAGTGGCTATCTGGGAGTATTATATATTTTCCTCTGCTGATCTTTGGCATTCAGATAATGCTCGTGGACAACTTTGGTTCTATGGAAGAACATAAACCCAAGGCTATGAGGACAGCCAGGGTCATCAGCTACGTGGCGAAGATTGCTGATGATAACGGTATGGAAGTGTTCGCTGCATCGGAAACTACTAAAAGGCCTGCAATTTGCACCAGCTCCGGCAAGGTCGAGAAGACCATCAAGAAGATGAAGACTGTAAAGGGGAAATGCAACATGTATAAATGCCTGGACGACATTCTCAACCGAGTCTTGGTATCTGGACGCTTCAGACCGACAAGTATTTACATTTACACTGATGGAATCTGGGAGCCAGGTGATGACAATGTCAAGCTTTTGATCAGTCGGGCTATCGACTTCCTTGATCGTCATGGGTACAAGTTTTCGGCACTGATGTTCCAGTTCATCAGATTTGGCAATGATCCTACAGGGACGGAGAGGCTGGATTATCTCGACAACCAGTGCAAGCGACAGACTAAAACGGATCATTAGTAAGTAGACTTTCGTTTTTGAACACCATGATCAGTCCCACTGACTACCTCTGAAGTGACATCGTTGACGCCAAGCACTGCGACGAGCATGTTCCGGACATTGTTATTGGAAGCATTTCGAGGTGGCATGACGAGAAGGCATAGATAGACTTCCTCATGGTGACGTTCTGCTTGGTTCATTGGATGTCGATGTTAACTACTGTGATTTAAAGGCGTTTTATGATACCCGGGGATAGGTCTTAATATTGGGATCGGGGTTTCGCGGTATGTGCTTATAGACTAGATATTCTATTAGAGTTTTTTTCTTTCCTTTCCTTTTTTCACTTTTCTCAAATGGCTCTAAATGCTATGGTGACTTTGTGAAGAAAATTCTGTAATTATCTATCTTTGACATAATATGTTCCGTTTGTGTATGCCTGTTGATATGCCCACGCATGTCTTTGGAGAAAAGTGTACCGTTCAAAGGAGTTATTGGTCAAGTCCCGATACTGGTACACGATTCTTTTAATTATTCAACACACATGCCCTCACTGGAAGATACTAGCTCCTACGTTCTTGCGCTCTTGACAGAATCGGTACTGGCGGGGTTAATTCTGCCCGACGGCTCATCAATTGTCCCAAGCATTAGCGCCACAAATCGAGATTTCCTCCACCGGAGTTGGAGCATGCTGTCAATTCCGGCCCGGAAATTAGGCTAGTGGATTCAGCCGAGGCCTGAGGCCTAGCCTGTAAACGAAAACAGTTAGCTTTCCTTACCAATCATCAGTGGCGATAGCTGACCTACATAACAATGGAATTTTCGGATCGCGTATCTGTGAAATGTCTCCGAGCTGTACTAACTTAAAGTATATCTTTGTTGCATAACTACGCACGCCTTCCAAAGCAAATATCAATCACCACGGACACAGAAATGCTCTCAGTTACAGCGCCGGCTTATACCAGCCCCAGTGGCTATGAACTTTCAACAGTACCGAAGCCAACGATCACTAGGGGCAATGATGTCCTCATCAAAGTCCATGCAGCAAGTATCAATCCGGTCGATGTGAAGAAGGCCGCTGGTGTTTTCAAGATGGCCATAAAGGAAGAGTAAGTTGCTTCAATTGGGGGTGAAAAGACACAGGCTGATAACACTGGTGTTAAGGTTCCCCTATAAGATTGGATATGACGCGGCCGGCGTCGTTGTGGAAGTTGGAAACGGTGTGACTAGACTGAAAGTTGGCGATGAAGTCTACACAAGATTACCAGAAGTCGGGAGAGGTGTGATAACATGGCTCGTGAGAGCGAGAACCGACTACTGACATTATGTAACAGGTGCTTGGAGCGAGTATGTCAAGTGTGCAGACGAATATGTCTCTTTGAAACCTAAGAGTCTCTCATTTGCCGATGCTACATCATTGCCACTGGCTGGAGTCACGGCATTACAGGTTCTCGGGCAATACAAGGGCTCATTAGGGGGCAAGACGGTATTTATTCCTGCGGGCTGTAAGTTACATACCATAAGTCTTTTCGAGCGAGATACTAATTTTGCTTGCAGTGAGCGGGACGGGAGCCATCGCGTGCCAGTTGGCCAAGAATGTCTTCCGCGCCGGCAAAGTCATCACCACAGTCTCGACCTCCAAAATCCCTCAAGTTCCAGAGCTTCTTGGTGAAGGCACGGTGGATCAGGGTGAGTCATGACCTCAGCCACCGACACTTAGCTGACCGGTATCACAGTCATCGACTACACCAAACAGAAAGTCTCCGAAGCCATTCCTCCCAAGTCTGTTGACTTTTGTTT